GCAGGGTTACCCATGGTGGACAGGTTTCAGCTGAGTTTCCAGACTAAGACAGCCCACAAAGGATAGGCAGACTATTTCTGAATGTTTAGCCACTGAAAACATTATGAACAACAGGGAAACACTATCAAACACCAACAACATATTGAATACTGAAACGCTAAGAATAGCACTAAAATACTGTCAGATACAGGGTCAGAAGATGAGCCCTTCAGGTTGGAAGGCACTCAAAATATGACTGGGTAGAACTACCTCCTCAAAGTAGAGTTGCCCATGATGAGGAGGATGGAATAAAGCTTTTGGAACCTTCATTTACTGATGGGGCACAAATTAAAATAAGGAGAAATAGCTGTAAACATCCATTAATGACTGGAACATGTAATGTACAACGTATGAACCTGGGAAAATTGGAAGTTGTCAAAAATGAAATGGAATGCATAAGGATCAATATCCTAGGCACTGGTAATGGACTGAAGTGGACTGATATTGGTCATTCTGAATCTGACAATCATATGGTCTATTAGATGAGGAATGGCATGTTGAAGAGGATTGGTGTCATATTCTTCATCAAAAAGAACATTTCAAGACGTACAGTGAAGTATAATGCTATCTGTCATAGGATAATAACCACACACATCCAAGGAAGATCAGTTAATACCACTACTACTCAAATTTACTCACCAACCGGGAAAGTCAGTGATGATGAAACTGAAGAATTATACCAATTTCTTCAGTCTGAAATTGATTAAATATGCAACCAAGATGTATTGATAACTACTGGAGCATGGAATGTAAAGTTTGGAAACAAACAGGAAGGATCAATAGTTGGAACATAAGGAATTGATGGTAGAAACTATGCTGGAGATAGAATTTTGCAAGACCAATGATTTCTTCATTACAAATATATTTTTTCAAACATGAAAGAAAACTATACATATGGACCTCACCAGATGGAATACACAAAATCAAATTGACTACATCTGTGGGAAGAGACAGTGGAAAAGCTCCATATCAGTCACAAGAAGACCAGGGCAGACTGTGGAACAATCAATTACTCCTATGCAAGTACAGGCTGATGCTTTAGAAACTTAAGCAAGTCCGTGAAAGACAAAATATGACCTTAAACATAACTGAACTGAATTTAGAGATCTCAAAAACAGATTTGATGCATTAGACATTAATGGCCAAAGATCCAAAGAGTTGTGGGATGACATCAAGAACATCACAAAGGAAGAAAGCAAAAAACAAAACAAAAAACATTAAGAAGAAAAGAGAGAAGGAAAAGACCAAAATGGATGTCAGAAAATAATCTCAAACGTGTTCTCTAGTATATAGCTGCTAAAGCAAAGGGAAGAAAAGAAGAGGTAAAAAGCTGAACAGAAAATTTCAAAGGGCATCTCAAGAAAACAAAGTCAAGTATTGCTAACGAAATGTTGAAAGATCTAAAGTTAGAAAGCCAAATGGGAAAAACACGCTTAGCTATTCTCAAGCTGAAAGAACTAAAGATAAAAATTCAAGACTTGTCTTGCAATATTGAAGGATTCTAATGCAAAATATTGAATGATGCAGAAAGCATGAGAAGATGGACAGAATTCATAGAGTAACTGTTCCAAAAAGAAATGGTCAATGTCCAATCACTTCAGGAGGTACCATATGATCAAGAGTCAGTGGTACTGAAGGAAGAAGTTGAAGGTACACTGAAGGCATTGTCAAAGAACAAGTCTCTGGGAATTGATGGGATACAATTTGAAATCTTTAACACACTGATGTGGCACTACAGACATCACTCATCTCTGCCAAGAAATATGGAAGACAACTATCTAGCCAACTGATTAGAAGACATTCATATTTGTGCTCATTTCAAAGAGAGGTGACCCAAAAGAATGTGAAAATCTTTGGACTATATCATTAATATCATATTCAAGCAAAGTTTTGCTAAAGATAATTCAAAAAGAGCTGCAACAGTACACTGACAGGGAACTGCCAAAGTTTCAAGCCCAATATAGAAGAGGATGTGGAACAAAAGATGTCACTGTTGACATGAGATAAATCTTGACTGAAAGCAGAGAATTCCAGAAAGATGTTTTATTTGACTATGCAAAGGCATTCAATTTTGTGGATCATAATTAATCTATGGATAAATTTGCCAACTATGGTCATTCCAGAACACTTAATTGTACATGAGCAAACTGTACATACACCTAGACGCAGTCGTTCAAACAGAACAAGGAGACATTGAATGGGTTAAAATCAGGAAAGGTGTGTGCCAGGGTTGTATTCTTTCACCGTATTTGTCAGCGCTGGACCAAAAACCGCAAGGTCGGCAGTTCAAATTCATCAGCTACTCCTTGGAAACCCTATATAGGGTTGCTATGAGTTGGAGCCAACTTGAAGGCACTTAACAACAACATTCAATCTCTATGCTGAGTTAATAATCTCAGAAGCTGAATTATATGAGAAGAATATGACATCAGGAATGAAGGAAGACTCATTCATGACCTGTGATATGCAGATGATGCAAATTTGCTTTCTGAAAGAGAAGAGGACTTAAAATACTTATGCAGATCAGAGACCACAGCCTGTAGCCTGTGTTGCACCTCAATGTAAAGAAATTAAAAATCCTCACCACTGGACCATACATAACATCATGTTAATAGTGGAGAAAAGATTAAAGTTGTCAAAGACTTCATTTTGCTTGGATCAACCATCAAAAGATCAAACGATGTATTGCATTATGCAAATCTGCTGCACAAGACCTCTTTGAAGTATTCAAGAACAAAGATGTCAGTTTGAGAACTAAGGTACGCCTGATCCAAGCTGTGGTATTTTCAATAACCTCAAATGCAGGTGAATGTTGGACAGTGAGTACTTAAGTCTATAGAAGAACTGATGCATTAGAATTATGGTGTTGGCTGAGAATATTAAATGTACCAAAGACCCCCAAAAGAATAAACAAATTTGTGTTGAAGTACAGCAGATTGCCCCTTAGAAACCTGGATGGTCACACTTCATCTCTTATACTTCAGATGTATTACCAAGGGAGACCAGTCCTGGAGACAGACATCATGCTTGGTAAACTGGATATTTAAGGAAAAAGAGGAAGACCCCCAATGAGATGGATTGGTATAGTGGCAGTAGCCATGGACTCAAGCATGGCAATGATTTTGAGCATAGGACGTGGTAGTGTTTTGTTCTGTTGTGCATAAGGTCACTATGAGTAGGGACTGACTTGATGTCACCTAACAACAACAACAAATTCAATGACAATATTATCAAGTGTGATTTATTTATAGTGGGACATGTCGCTTTGGAACGATCTGCATAATTCAGCCATGTATTTCAAATGATCACTACATGATGATGTAAAATTCATTCAAAAACAAAACAGTTCTATAAAATTTTTATGTAACAGAGAACAAACATTTTAATGATACGGTTTCAAATTATTCAATGCAACTATGAGAATCTGCCAAAAAATATCAGCAGTTCTAAAAAGACAATTAAGATATTCCTCCTCTTTTCCAGCTACATATCTGTTTGAAGATGGGTTTTCATTGCATTCTTCCACCAAAACAATGTATCACCACAGATTAAAAACAGAAGATACTATAATCCAGCTGTCTTCTATTAAAAAGATTTGAAAAAAATGCAAAAAAAGACAAACTTTTCAATATTTTTTGTTTTAGAAAATAATCTTTCCATTAAAAGTTTATTGGTTAACATGAAATGGGCTTGTTAATGTCATTTAAATATAAATAACATTTGCAAATTTTTATCTTTGACTTCTAATAAGATGATTAGAAGTCATTGTTATTGATAAATAACACTCTTTAATAACTTTTAAGATCTCAAATGGGGTCCTGAGATCAAAACATTTGAGAATTGCTATTCTGGAGTGCCAGTATTTAGAACCCCTTATTTGCCTTGTCTTCTATAAAAACTGATTGTTTTATAAATCCATTTCAAAATATGTTAACTGCTACATAGATTCCTTTTAATCTTTCATTTATATTATGAACTAAGTATAATGGTTACATTTGTTTATCAACTTGGCTAGGCTATGATGTCCAGTTGTTCATTCAGACACTAATCTAGATGTTGTTATGACTGTGGTGACACGTGATTAGGAGTCCTGATGTGGTACTCCAAGTTAATACGCTGGATTGCAAAGTCATTTGAACTGCAAGATTAGCAGTTCAAGCTCACAAGCTGCTCCTAGGAAATCTATACAGGGTTGTTATGGGTGGGAATTTAACAGCAACAACAATATGTGATTAACATTTGAATCAGTTGACCTTAAGTAAAGCACCTAAGGTGATCCTAAGTAAAGTGCCTTCCATAATGTTGGTTTCTGTTGGAATAGCATGGAGTTAGTTCCAACTCATGGAAACCCTGTATAGGGTTTCTGAGGAGTGGCTGGTGAGCTTGAACCACCAACCTTGCAGTCCAGGTGCATTAACCCGTAGGCCTCATCTAATCAGTTGAAGGCCTTAAAAGAATAACATTGAGGTTTCCCAAGGGAAAAGAATTCCACCTCCAAAGTGTTTAAACAGTTTCCAGCCTGTCTCCTGACCTATGGTTTTTGGACTTACCACTCTCGCAATTATGCGAGTCAATTATTTAAAGTGAATCTTAATTTCTCTTTCTCTGTCTCTCTCTATAGATTATTGGACTGTCTGTTTCTTTGGAGAATCTTCACTAAGACACTAAGCAATTCTGGGGAGGGAGGGAGAGAAAGAAAGGACAGAAGGAAAGATGAAAACAAAGAGAGAGGTACACAAATATGCAGTACCCCGAAAGGTGGGTGATTCTTGAGGTCACTTAGCTCAGCAGTAGGTGAATGGAAACATATGGAAGAGTGTGTATGTGGAGAGGCAGCTTGAACATTATTTTTATTTCAAGACTTTTTTTTTCCCTCTCACATATATACATTCAATTTATTCCTATAGTCTAACAGTTATTAAAAAAACAAAGTGAGACAGATTAAAGAATCATGAACATACCTATGCAATCTGCATTTGAATCCTGCTTATAACCCATGTTGCATTCACATCGGTAGCTGGAAACCGTCGGTATGCAGCGTCCATTTAAACAAAGATTAGCATGGTGCTTACAGATATCTATTGTCTGATTCAGGATTGCTACAGAAAATTAAAGCACAAGAAAAAACCCCGAATCATTATCACATACCTTACTTTCCTTAGACTTGATTTTGAAAAGGATACGTATTAGTAAATGATTCAAGTGTGTATTAAAGCCTACGTTATTCTATTTTTAATTAAAACCTTAATGAAAAGGATCTAAAAATGTTCTTGGACACA